GGAGAAATTAAGATTAATAAGATTGTAACTTTTCTGCATGGAAAAGAGACAAGGGGGGGAGTTATGATTGAGGTAAAAAAATCATAGCTGGTGTAGAGAAAGTAGATAACGAAGTACTCTTTCGTCCTTCTCATAACACAAGAACTAGGCAGCAGGGTTAAAACAAAGGGAAGTCTTTAATCACACAACGCACAGGAACTCCACCAGAAGATGTTGTGCAGGCCAAGAACAAGCCTTAGAAAAAAGAACTAGATAAATTCATGGAGGAATGCCATTGATAGCTCTATTAGCCAGGATGGGCATGGATGGTGTCCCTAGCCTCTACTTGTCATAAGCTGGGAATAGACAACAGGGAATGGATCACTTGATGGTTATTTGTTCTGTTCATTCCCTCTGGAGCATCTGGCATTGGCCACTGTCGAACGACAGATACTAGGTTAGATGTACATTTGGTCTGACCCAGTATGGTCATTCTTATGTTTGTATCCTGTTAGTGGTAGCATGCACTAATAGACTGACCACAATATTGGAGTTCTAATCCTAACATTGCCACTGAGTGCCTGTAATACTTTGGGTAAGTCACTTTCGGCTTTTCTACACTTGATAATTATATCAGCATAGCTACATCTTTCAACCTAACCCCCGTACACAAAGCAATCTTCCATCAGCCTAGATGCCACATCTCAGGGAGTTACATATGCCAGAAGCACATGAAGAATCTACACTGAAGCACTACAGCAGTGAAGCTTCAGCTGTGCCACTGTGATGTTTTCAGTGTAGACATACCCTTCACTTCTCTGTGTATCTTAATTTCCCTTTCCATGAAAGGCAGAACTACTTAGCTCCCAACGTGAAATTACAATTGCCCCAATTGAAACTTTCATGTGCTTTCTCATGACTGCTTCCAGGATTGCTCTTGCAACCCAGTGGTACAACACTTCTGTACCTTTTTGGGTAACACACTTGAAAGTAGGGGACATACTGTTTAGAGGGAAGCTTATTTATCTGAAGTGTAACAAAATAGAACAGTATTTTCCCATTTGGCTACCATTTCTCAGCCATGCTGACCCAGATAACTGTGTGGCCAATCCATATAAATTAGGGTTTGTATCTTAGGGTATGTCTACACTTGCAGCCTATTTCAGAATAGGGCTGCAAATGTAGGCATTCGGAATTGCAAATCAAGCCTGGGATTTAAATATCCCGTGCTTGATTTGCATCTTCCCGGCAGGGTGCCATTTTTGAAATTTACAAGCCTGGAATAACTGCCCGAATCTACATGCGGCAGTGAAACGGGCATTCGAAATAAAGCCCTATTTCGAACTACCTGTCAAACCTCATTGCAGGAGGAATAACAGGTAGTTCGAAATAGGGCTTTATTTCGAACACCCATTTTACTGCTGTGTGTAGACGCGGACAGTTATTCTGGGCTTGTAAATTTCAAAAAATGGCACCCGGCCGGGAAGATGCAAATCAAGCCCGGGATATTTAAATCCCAGGCTTGATTTGCAATTCCGAATGCCTACAGTTGCAGCCCTATTCTGAAATAGGCTGCAAGTGTAGACATACCCTTATTGACCCACTGTTTCATTGTAAAGTTTACCTTTTCTGGCAATGGTACACATTTGTTACTATCCTTCTATTGCTGCTCTTTACTGACTGTCTTTACAACTATAAATCCCATTTCTTTTTCATCCATTATTAATTTTAAAAAACAAAATATAAAAACTGAAATATTATTAGTGCTAAAGAATTTTCCCCTTAATTTTTCAGAGAACAAAATCAGAAATTATGTATACCTTTGCATATTTTGGACGCACTTGCTATATATAACAAGCATTACAGTAAAATGCCCGTTGTTAATAACTGCTTTATGTATAAAAATACTCAGTAAAAAGTATGTAGCCGTAGAATAAATGTAAAATACATACAAAACATAGCTATTTGAGATATTTTTCTTAAGCTATGTTGAACTATACATTATTAATGATCAAGACACACACGCAGTTTCAGAGTACCCACCTCTGCATTACATTTACGATACAGCACGCAACTGCTGTACATTTTAAGGCTTTAGCAAATGGAATCAAATGTAAGATTTGCTAATTGCTAGCGCAATGCCTGACAAAGAGGTGCTGCAGAGGCAGCAAAGGTATATTAATCAGACAGACTGAGATTTCTGTTTCTTGATTAGCAGCCAGACCTTGCTGAAGCCTTCTTTCAAAGTAGATTGATAGCTACTTTATTGGCTTAAGGAAAAAATTATTCCTGTTGACAGCACAAAGGATGTGGTCATTAAATTTACCATCAAATTCTGAAGTATAAAGCTAAAATGATTTTTTTTAATAATTTGTTTCACTCATAGTTTTCAATTATTCAGCTGAGTATTTGTTTTTTAATTAATTAAAAACCTAATGATTTTAATCCAGAATCTTTTTAAAACTGACTAGATAATGCACGATATTACTTGTAACTAACAAGTATTTTCCTCATCCTCTAAAAGTAAATCTGAAAAACACAGTGGTATGAGCTAAGTATGGTGTAAATCCTTCCTTGCTTGTGAAAATATTTGCTATAGAACTTATTGGAAATATCAATATGTTAAAGGCAGAGTTGATGCACTTCAGTACAAGGTCCCCTTGCAGAATAAATCAGCTGTCATCCACCCTTAGATCATTGCTGTAAGCTAAGGTAAATGTGTTTTCATATATTAAGGAAGTGATGTGCAATTTAAATACATAAAAGCAGTGATTAATGTAGTTACAAAGTAATATCTTTGTAATATTTTGGAGACTCTCAAATAATTACATCCATACCTAGAGAAAGTGCAACTACAGCCATTTAGAGTTATGAATTTAAAGTGAGATCTCAAGAAAATATGAACACACTTCTTTTAGTAATTATTACAAAAATAAATAGCAGAACATGTCATCACACTTTCAGAAACCAAAAGACAGTAGGAAATCTAGCATAAAAATCAGTCAAGATTCTATACTGTCTGAGCAAGTATGCTGAATATTTTAAACGGGGGGGGGGGGGGGGGGGGGAAAAAA